TTGCTGTTTTGTGTAAATTGTAAATATTCTAGTAAGAATATCTGAAAATTTAGATTTAAAAATTTAAATCTTTTAAAAAAGATTTAAACAATATTCTATTTATGCATCAATTGCTATAGTGCAATTTGATGAAAAATGTTTTTAATAACAATATTTTACTGGGGAATATTTTTAGAGACTGACTCACAATGAACAAATGTAAAGAAACCTCAATACAACCCTGCTGGCTAACTTGTAAAACAAATAAAATATAAATATATATAAATCTATGCTCAGGCTTATTAAGAGAGATTTAGAATATTTTCTTTCAATAAATTTTTGAACAATGAAAAAAAAGCTAGTTTTATGGCTGTTAGAAGTGGATCAAGATGATATATTTGACAAATAATTTCTAGTCAGTTAAAATATCAAGTCTAGTAAATTTCAAGGCTATCTAATCCAAAATAAGCCCGTCCACATACAAAATAGCTTTAATACCGTCTGACTATTGCCCCCATTTCAGGTTTTGGCATTTCTGCTTAAAACCATTATCTTGCTTAGTTTTCTTGGGGACATAAGTAGATAATTTTGACATTCTTTGAATGAAGTCTAATAATTTGAGTAGCCCAACAAAGTTGTATTTGCCTGTAGTAATTTTCTAATTTAGCTAAAATAACAACCACATCTGGTTTTGGTTGAAGAAAAAAATCATCTCACTGTACCAATACTGATCACATGCTAAGAGCTGATCATTGACGAGAAGCAAATTTAATTATATTATGGAAAAATAGCTAATTTATTTATTAGTTAAAATACTTAGAGTTTAAACCACTTCTCTAAAGTATATCACTGTGGAGTCCTAAAATCATATTTATATAATTCATTCACTCATTTAAATCCATTACTTTCTGAGTTCACTCTTCAATCCATCCTGAAGATTTTTCCTGAGCCTCTACCATGTTCTGTATCCTGGGGCTACAAAGATAATACCATAATAGAACAAACAGTCCAGTACTGTAAAGAAGTAGTTTCGGAAAAAATTACCATACAGAATGCTTAAGTATATGGTGCCTAATCAGGGAATGGTTGACTTTAGTCTGAGGGCCAGAAAGACATTATAAAGGAGTCTGATTTGGGTCTTCAAGATGAATCAGTGTTGAACACAAACAATTGAAAAAAATAAGTTCTACTTTAAAAAGAAAAGCAAAGAAAAAGATGAATAGGAGTTCTCTAAGTGATACTATGAAGCCGAACTCCACTGTCCCTGGTTGTTCACTCTGTACCTTAGTTCAACCCTTGTGTGGCCTGCATACTATTTGGTGTCCTCCTTTCTTGGACTTCGGGTACCTGTGATATACACTGTATATAAACCATTGTGATTTAGCATCTGTTTGGTGTAAGAGTCATGTATTTGTTCATACTAATAACACTGGGGAAGGAACCTCTTCCTTACCTACACTGTGAATAGGAACTGATGAACACCTGCTATCAGGGAAATATTAAACCCTCTGAATCCCAGATAAGAGATATTATGTAAAAATTTCTGTTACCCGCCAATCATTTCTCATTATTAATCTTAATTTTAGAGGAAGAAGAAAATTGCATAAGACATTATTTTTGGTAAAAATATTCCTATTCAGTTATCATAACTAATCTTCTAAATTTTGTTATATAATAGGGAGGGAAGTGCATTTTGGAAACAAAAGTTTTCAAACAATATTTTGTTTGTGAACTATTAAAATAAAGGGATGGTAAGAGCTTATCCTTTAGACACCATTTTAATGAATTCTTAGGTATATATCCTATGCTAAAGAGATGATTCTAGCATCTGACATGCAGCCTGTAGGTAAAGGCCTATAAGTGTAGATGTAGATCTGTTATTTGCCTGGGTTTGTAAAAAGGAGGAAAATAGATTCTGATGAGCAATGAATTTCACAGTTCCATGTCCTGGTGGGACAAGTTTAATTAAGGATATGGCTAAATCAAGATGACAATGAAGAAATGAGAAATGGGAGGCAAATCTAAACAATAGGACAGGGCAGAATGGTATTCTAAAAAAATTATATAAAACATTATAATAGAGAACTGGTTCTTTTATTTGTTTACAAATTTACCAGAACATCTATATTCAGATCATTATTTTTTTTCCTTTGAAAATGATTGCCTTGAAGGACTAGTCACTTATTCTAATTAGTCTGTAATTGCTTATCACATTTGTGATGATTTCTTTAGTACCTCTCTTGGAAACTCTTGGTACATATTTCTGAATGAACTTAGGGATGGTAGATTGTTGAAATTTGTAAGTGGATTTGAACTAGATAGGTTGAAAAGCTTCCTGTGGTAAAACATTTAGAATTGATGATCAAAATTCTAAAACTAGGTAGAATATGTGAAATTACCATCTTTTTAGGTCATTTTCAGTCAAACACTGGCAAGTGTGGTCCAATTCAGTAGACAGCTTTAGCACATAAAAAAAGTATGGGAAATCCCAAAGGACCAAATACCATACCAGACTGAAATTCAGAATGTTCATCTGCATGCAGATGCTTTGGTTGTTTTGAAGGTATTAAACTCACTAATCACAAAAATGTGCATTTATTGTTAACTAGGCAAGGGGAGAGAAAGACTTGGAACTGAGCAAGATAGAGAACTGAAATTGCATCATTATCATAAAGCCAGGATTTTTGAAAGGTTGTACTCTCAAGTACAGGATGGAAAAGATGAGAAAAAGACATTTACAAAAGAAAGACAGGCACATTTTCTAATTAATCTAAGCTCAGGGTAGGAAAAAAATAAACTTTAACCACAAGCTTGCTCTCCAAGGTGGGTTTAAAATTTGAATCCACACAACTCATGTAATGCTGCTTAGAAACTTTGCCCAAATCTTTGGATAACTATTGGATAATTAATACATGTGTCCATGAAGCCCAGTGAAGGATAAAATCATGGAATAGAGGTTTCAGTTTCTGCCTACAATCAGGCAAACAGGGTTTGGAGTCCAATTAACTGCATGATAAAACTAATTTAAAAAAAAATTTTCACGAGACTATAACAGAATCTGTAGTCTTTATAATATGTCATTCAGTCTCTAAACCATAATATCTGTACAGTCGAAAAACAGAACAATGCCACCAATATTCAAGGGTAGAAATCAACCCCAAGTTTTTACAGGTGTTGTAATTATCTGGTAAAGGTTTTAAAGCTATTATTATAAATATGCTCAAGGATGTAAAGGAAAATATTATCATAATGAATTAACATATAGAAATTCTCAACATAAAAATAAAAACTATAAGTTAAAATCAAATGAAAATGCTAGAATTGAAAAATAAAATATTGAAAATAAAAATGCACTGGATTGGCTTAAGAGAAAATTTGAGATATAGAAAATCAATAAAATTGAAGATAGACCAATAGAAATTACCTGTTTTTAAAAGCAGGAGAGACAAATATTGAAGAATTGAACAGAGCTTCACTGATATGTGGGATATATCAACATATAACTGGAGTCTCAGAAGGAGGATAGGAAGAGAGAGAAAATGGAGTGAAAAAAAATACCAAATTTCCCAAATTTGATGAAAGACAAAAAATGTATACTTTCAAGAATTTCAGATAGTCCCAAGAAATTTTAATACAAAGAAAACCATGCATAGGCACATGACAAATTGCTAAGGTTCAAATATAAAGAGAAAATCAACACCCTACAGACAGAGCAACATCAATACATGAAGGCTAACTTCTCAGAAACAATGGGGGCCAGAACATGGTGGAATAAGACCTTTGAAAAGGTGACAGAGAAAGAAAACTCTATATTCTATATTTCTTCAAGAATGAAGCAAGATAGAGATATTTATAGCTAAAAGAAAACTAAGAGAATTCCTTGATAGCAGACTTGCATTACAAAAAAAATTGCTAAAGCAATATTTTCAAGATGAAGGGAAATAATGGCAAATAGAATCCAAGAACTTCAGTAAGGAATGCAGATCATAGGGAATGGTGGTTATGTGGCTAACTAGGAAATGTGATTCTATTCAAATTTCTTTAAAATACACATAACTACTTCAAGTTTACACCACAGTAATGTTTATAGCATATTTAAATGTAATTTACATAGCAATTAGAGCACATAAATAAGAGGATGAACTGAACTGTAATTGCAAGCTTCTTGTTTATTGTGTGACATGATCTAAGATTTTGTGTGCTTGAGTTACACCTCAGTATGAATGAAAAAATTTCAAGGATTCCCCCCCCCCAAAAAAAAAACATAGCCTATAACTCCTGTATTATTTGGTGTAAGGAACACTAGCTGACACAATAGACAAACCCTGACATTTTAATGACTTGATGCAATTGATGTTTGCTACCTTCCCACATTATACCTTGTTGTCACTCAGTTTGACCCTCCTGCACAGCCCCCTCTAATAGTGACTCAATAATGTTTTCTACTCTCATCTTGCATGTCAGTTATCTGTAGAAGATGAGAGAGGGATCGGTGTAGGGGGGGGCACTGAAGAAAAGTCATATCCATTCCTAACTTCCTTTCACCAGAGGTTACCCATCATTTTTTTTTGTTGCATTCAGTAAAAATCAGTCATAAATCCATACATAAATTCTTGAGGCTAAGAAGATGTTGTGCAACTGTGTTCAAGCAAATAAAAGAAAGTGATGAATACTTGGCATTATCTCTGCCACATGCCCAAATTAATGGATAGAAAAAAATGAACAAGGAAAATAACTTTAATTAATTAAAAGGAAAACAATTAAATAAAAAGTAAAATAGAAAAAAAAGCGGGTCAAAAACAAAACAAACAGCCTCCTTTCTTTATGGTTGCACTTTATATTAGATTGTTTTCACAGRGGAAATTGGATGAATGTGGAAAGTGTCTTCATATTAGAGAATAGCTCATCAAATGATTCAGTTTTTTTTTTCCTTAGAAAATTAAGATATACAGGGTTTGCTTTTCTACTACATTGGTGTTTGATTGGAAGCCTCACATGAGAAATATTTCATTTATCACTAGGCACTAGATGAACCAGCCAAGACTGAAAATGTCTCCAAGGACAGCACATTAGACCTTCCTGTGGAGGTAATGACTTCAGATTACCCTGCTTGTGGCATGCAACCCTGGAACTCACTGCTAACTCAGTACCTGGTTTCAATTTTTCCAGTTTTGTTATCCTGCACAGCTCAGGCAGAAAACTGAAGAGCTCTGTGCTACCATTGATAAGGTCTTGCAGGATTCCTTGTCTATGGTAATGCCTTAGAATAGAATGTGCTATTCAAACATTTGCTTCGCTTCTCTTCATTTCCCTCTAATTTAGTATGATGCCTCACAGGACTGTCCTTTTCTTTTCTTCCTTTCTTCTTTCTTTTTCTTCCAGCATTCTTCTGATTCTCCTTCAAGGTCCCCTCAGACATTGTTGGGTTCTGAAACAATCAAAGTATGTATATATTTATTATAATTTACTGATCCATAGATTTGCTAGGTCAGTGATTTTCAAACTGAGTCAAAGCTCAATAGTCAGTTGGGAAATTGATAGTTAGTAAACCAATATATAAAAATGCCACCAGCATTTTAAAAATAGTACAATATCAGGTTCTATTTCAAGTACTGTATAGCTGTTGTTGACATTTGTTTCTGTTTGTTTACATGTTCACATGTGTACAAATTTGCATAGTAAATCTATTTCTTACTTGGGTCATGTTTAAAACAGTTGGAAAACGTACTAGAGTATATAGTTGTATGTTAGCATTTTATAGAACTGGATGTAGAATCTGTGACTTATCTCAAACTATAGCTTCATTATTAATGTAATTACAGCTACTTAGAATTGTTAAACTGGAAAATGAAGTGGACTAAAATAGTACTATTCTAATAGCTTTAATATAGGTATATTTCTGGATTTTAAAAATTTGATAGACCAAATTAATTTCATTGTACTTTGGGACAGAATGCTAAATATTTTAGATTGCTAAAGTACTACTAGGCTATTTGTTGTTGTAATTAAATATATGTTTCCTTCTTAAAATGTAGTCATTTTTATTTGGAGAAATATTACACTTCTCTGAATTATTTTTCAAATATTTATATACATATATATTGTATTTTTTTCAAATGTTTATATTGGTGAGTATAACTTTACTCACCCAAATTTCAGAATGCATGTGGCTTTTCCTTTATTGATAACTATTATTATAATTATTATTTTCTTTTCTGTCCTCCTTATTTTCTGTCTTGGAGTTAGTACTTTCTGCATGTCTTTTAAAAAAATGGGACATTGATGTCTGACATAGGTTTTAAAAATGCAGAATTCTTCATAACTAGAAGAATTATCCTAATTTTTAACTGGAACATTATTGAAAAATATCCATTATTAGTAAAATAGAAGCCTGGGAACTGATTGTTGTCAATATCAATAAATTATATTTTTAACAGAGAGAACCCACAAACATAGTTTCTGTATTTGGAATCTATTTTGTTGTATATCCATTAAGTCTATTAATTAAAATTTTGTTGTACCAAAATAATATTATTTTATAAAAATAATTATTATTTAAAATAAATTTTTAAAATTTAACTTGTTGAACATGTAAAATATGTATATATTAATTGTATTTAAGAAGTTACATATGAATAGTAATATATATTTTTTTGATTTAACAAATATCTAGTACTCATTATATTAAAAAATGATATTTTAGGTCACTAGATTTCAAGCACTTTTTCTTGAACAATTTTTTTAAAAAATTTTATTTGATATATAATATTTATACATATTTTTATATACAAGGTAATGTTATGATTCATGTATACAACTCAATAAGTAGCATATCAATCACATTAAGCTTTTATAAATTCTTTATGATAAATGCATTCAGATTCCTTCTTTCTAATTAGTTTGAGGTATATATAAAGTTTTATATTTATTATATCCACCCTGCTCTGCCATAGAATACCAGAACTTATCCCTTCTGTCAAGCAATTTTATGCTACCAGTTGATTGACCCCTCCCATCATAACCCAGTTTAATCAACAATCCCTATTCTGCTCTCAACTTCTGTAAGATCAACTTTTTCAGATTCTGTTTAGAACTGAGATCATGTGGTGTTTGTGTTTCTGTTCTTGACTTATTTCACATTTCTCCAGTTCTATTCAGATAGGATTTCATGTTTTTTTATTCTAACTTGTTATATATAACAGCAGAATGCATCACAATTCTTATTACACATAGAGAGCACTTTTTTAATATCTCTGGTTGTACACAAAGTAGAGTCACACCATTTGTGTCTTCATACAGGTACTTAGAGTAGTGATGTTCATCTCATTCCACCATCTTTCCTCCCCCCCGCATATCCCCTCCCTTCCCCTATTTCCCCTTTGCTCTATCTAGAGTTTGTGTAATCCACCCATGCTCCCCCCCACCACTTTATGAATCAGCATCCTTGTATCAGAGAAAACATTTGGCATTTGGTGTTTTGGGATTGGCTGAATTCACAGAGCATTATATTCTCCAACTGCATCAATTTACCTGCAAATGCCATGATTTTATTGTCTTTTAATGCTGAATAGTATTCCACTGTGTGTATATATACCACATTTTCTTTATCCATTCATCATCTGAAGGGCATCTAGGTTGGTTCCACAATTTAGCTATTATGAATTGTGCTCCTATAAATATTAATGTGGCTGTGTCCCTGTAGTATGCTGTTTTTAAGTCCTTTGGGTATAAACTGAGGACTGAAATAGCTGGGTCAAATGGTGATTCCATCCTCAATTTTCTGAGGAATCTCCATACTGCTTTCTATATTGGCTGCACCACTTTGCAGTCCTATCAGCAATGTATGAGTGTACCTTTTTCACCACATTCTCACCAACATTTATTGTTGCCTGTATTCTTGATGATTGCCATTCTGACAGGAGTGAGATGAAATTTTAGAAAGATTTTGATTTGCATTTCTTTAATTGCTAGAGATGTTGAACACTCTTTCATATATTTGTTGATCAATTGTATTTCTTCTTCTGTGAAGTGTCGGTTCAGTTCCTTAGCTCATTTATTGATTTGGTTATTTGTTTTATTAGTGTTAAGTTTTTGAATTCTTTTTTTTTTAAGCATCTCATTTTTTTTTTATTCTTTAATGTAGTTTTTTAAGCACATGATGTCACACCAAATGGGGGGGCCTGCCAAGGTGGTGTGGACTGGAGGCCTCTTCTTGCAGAGGGTCACTATGGAACAAGACTGAGCTTTGTCACTGGGGACTTAACATTGTCTCCATGCAAGCGCCTTCTCTGTGTGAACAACCCTGCTCTCCAGAGGTCTCCCAACAGTTGATTCTTTACATTTCTTCTTCTCCCCTCACCCTGCTCCTGTGGTTAACTTTATAAGTTTGTACTGCAAAGGTTGTAAATAATAATTAAAAAAAAA